AAGTGCCTAGTCTGCAAGCAAATAAAAGGACGAAATGTACAACCAGCGGCGCCGATGTCCACGCACACGCCGACCCGAGCATGGCAGTACATATCGATCGACACACTGGGCCGCTACCGCGGCGATGGAACTGAGCCAGAGTACGCCGTCATCCTGGAAGACGTGCTCATGAAGTGGACCGAAGCAGTTCCAGTCAAAGATACCCGTCATCAGACGATCACCGAGGTTCTTGACGCAGTCTTCTTGCGTTACGGGGTCCCCGAAGTGGTGATCGCCGATTGCGCCACTCAGTTCACCCTCACCAAGTGGGAAAAATACTGCAGGAAGCTGGGGATGCGGATCGTCAACTCGGCGACCTACCAACAGCGGGCGAACCCCGTCGAGAGGCAGGTTCAAGAAGTTAAGAAAATTATCAGAGCACTCATGAAGACCAACGCTGGAAATAAACTGTGTAGTTCGCGGAACTTCGAGTGCGCGAAATAACACTTTGTCCGATTGTGATAAACAATGTATCTTTTATATTTATTTATGTCAAATCGTTTCTTATTTTATTTTTATAAATAAATAAGGCGACTTGTCGTAAAAACCAGGGGGGCATGTTGAATTCGACAGTTAGTCGATTCTCTATAAAAGAGAGGATCAGACCTCTCAAATTTAGTACGAGTCTACCACTCCCTGGTTGCCTACGAATACAAGTCGCCGCTTCAACTTCGAACTTGCTTTTAATTTCGATCCACCTGAGGGCTACCCTCCTTGCTGCTGCCACGAGAGCAGGGAAACAATTGTTCTTTTAAGAACAAATAAAAAAGAAAGAAAGACTTTGCGTAGTTTTTACCTTGCATAAAAAGGAAAAACTTCAACACCGTGGACGACAGCACCAGGACCCAGCCATTGGATTCCAGCACCGCCAGCGAGGTCGAGCGACGTCCCAACCACCGGGTTGCACAGGTGGTCAACATCGCCGACCAGGTCCGTCAGTGGGGCCGTGCCAGGTCCAACAGCTGGGCCGATCCAGGTCCGACACCAGGGCCGTTCCAGGTCCGACGCCAGGGCCGTTCCAGGTCCGTCAGTGGGGCCGATCCCGGTCCACGAGCAGGGCCGATCCCGGTCCGACACCAGGGCCGTTCCAGGTCCGTCAGTAGGGCCGATCCCGGTCCGTCAGCAGGGCCAATCCCGGTCCGACACCAGGGCCGATCCCAGGCCATTCCTAGGGACGATCCTAGGCCTTTTGAAGGAACACGTATGGTCCGTACCCGATCACAGACCAGGATGGATGTACACCAGGTGCCTGCCGGGGACCCAGTCGTAGATGACGACGAACCAGAGTACCTCCCAGCTGAAGACAGCTTCCTGGAGGGCACCGGCGAAGTCGACCAGGTCCACCAGGTCGATGATGCCTCGCCACCCTCAACCACCAGTACCATCCTCGTTGGGCAACATCCCGGAAGTGTCCAGGTGCCGGTGCAGGCATCCGAAGCGATTCCAGAGCACCGAGTCACCCGTGTACAACAGCCGATTGTCGAAGCACTGGTCAGTGATTGGCTAGCACTCACACCGCACAGACCAGTCCGACTTGCTCTCTCTTCCGCGCCATCCTTCGACTGCTCCACATCTACGGCCTCTAACCGGGACTTAGATGCCAGAAAGGTCAAGCCTGCTTGCTGAAGATACTCTGTGGTTTTATTCAACGACCTACCTTCGCTGCTCGCACATCGGTCCACCCGGACGATTGCTCGCCAGCATACTTATAAAAAGAAAGAATTAACTATTCAGTAATCTATTTACCTACCTATAAAAAGAAAGAGATACTTCGGGTAATCAAATTACCACGGGTCGCCGGGTAAGTATTAGGCGACGTTCACAACTACAACGACGCCCACGGCTGCTGCGACGCCCACGACTGCCGCGACGACCGCCGACGTAGCGACGCCCGCCAAGGCCGCGACGCTCACCGACGCCACGACGCCCACCGACGCCGCGATGCCCATCGCCGCCGCGACGCCCATCGCCGCCGCGACGCCCATCGCCGCCGCGACGCCCATTGCCGCCGCGACGCCCATCGCCGCCGCGACGCCCATTGCCGCCGCGACGCCCATCGCCGCCGCGACGCCCATCGCCGCCGCGACGCCCATCGCCGCCGCGACGCCCATCGCCGCCGGGACGTTCACCGCCACCGCAGCTCCACCGCTCGGCCCCCACGGCCCCGCTGAATGCCCGTTGTGACGAGAAGCCAGACGCAAGCCGAACGACTCTCCGCACGCGCACCCGCCATGACCGACACGCAGACCACCGGCACGCAGACAACCGGCACGGGCCTCGCGCCCCCCGGTTCTGCGTCCGACACAACCGAGGAATTCGTTGGCGGCTCCGGAGGTGACGCGCCCCTCGCTTCGTCTCTGGATGGACAAGAGACGGGCCTCGGGGACCACCGGACGGGATTGGACACCCTGGGGGACCACCGTCTACAACACCGATATCGAGAAGCGCTGTTTTCAACCAATCAAAATTAAGGAAAATTTTCGAAACAGAAACGTTCAAATGGGCGGAAACAATTGAAAAAGACACATTTGTTTCCAGCCAATCAAATACCAAAACGTTTTCTATTGGTTAGTTTAACTTTTGCTAAAATTTTACATTTTTCCAAATGCCCTTATTTGGTCATACGAAATTCCAAAGCTTCTATTTTGTTCTAGAAGCACGGTTTTCGTAACCAAATAAGGTACTGAAACGAATTATCGATTCTTATTGGTTTCAAAATCCTTCTGATTTAATATAAATATTTAGTAATGCCTGCTGCATTACAATCAGTTCAATTACGAGCTCAAAGCGACTTCCAGCTTTGACTCCTACTCGATGTGCCATCTCGACAAACCAACTGGTAACTTATTTATACTTTGAATATTGTTTTTATTGTTTGCCTATTTTAAAATTAATTTCCTTCGGGAATTAATTATTATTTGATTAAAATTCAAGTGATTGAATTTATTTTGAATTAAACTTCGAAAGATTCGTAGTTGATTTATGTTTGATATTTAAAACCCGTTCGTAGAACGAAAATTCAAGTGTTGAATTTTATTTTGAATTAAACTTCGAAAGATTCGAAGTTAAATTATTTTTGATATTTAAAAAACAGTTCGTAGAACTAAACTTGTAAATTCAAGTGAATTGAATTTATTTTTGAATTAAAATTCGAAGGATTCGAATTTGTTTAAAGAAAAAGGTAAACTTCTGGTAAGCAATGCCGTACGATCACCGAAATTTGAGAAAGCTAACTAAAGTAAGGGATACTTTGGTACGTTCCTTTAAATTCCAATTGAGAGCCCGTCAGCACACGTACCAGATTGTGAGGAATGTTATCGTCAATGCCAATGGGGATGTTATTGAAGATCTGATGAAAACCCACCGCCGTCAGAGCCAGCAGGAACAGTGATATGCCCATTGTCACACGCTCAGCTTCCAAGATCGCGAAGTTGAACGCCAACACGGAAGAAATCAAGGCTTCTGTGGACAACGTCTTCGGAGTCAACGAATTGGTTTCCAAAGTCAAGAATACTTTCGAATTGGTTGGAACTGCTTGCAATGTCAAATCATATTTAAGGTTGTTAAGCCCGATTATTAAGTTAATCGATTTCCTGCTAAATATTAGCTATCAGCAATTTTTGTATTAATATTATTTAACTTTATGCTGTAAAATTAATTAACCTGTATAAAAATAAAGTAGTCATCAATTGTAGACAGACACGAGTCGTTGACCAATAAAGTCACCTATGGAAGGAAAAGTTATTTTATTTCATCTATTATATAAAAGGGGTGATAAGTATAAAAAGAGTATGAAAGTTTAAGACATACCATCAAGGAACATTACATGGCGATCCTGCCTAAAAAGAGTTTGTGTCTTCTAAAGTGAAAGTGTAGTTAGTTATATCATGGGAAAAACAAATTCCAAACATTCAGAAGTGACAGACACTGGGGTAGTGAACTCAAATTTTATAGTGGAAGAAAACGCTATTCAAGTACCTACGGACATTAAAATTTTATTGTATGTAATAGCTGCAGCCTTAGTGGGATTAAAATTAAGAAAATCTTACCGCAGAGGACTTAAGAGAGACTTGTCTAGAAGTATGGCAACAATAAGAACTCAAGGTGATATTCTTTAAATGTATAGTTAGTTATAGTTAGTTATATACATAGTTATAAAGTAAAAAGTAAAGACATAGATGACCAGCAACAGCAACCCTAGACGGCAACAAGTGTGGTGAAGTAAAGAAAAAAAAAATGTGTGTGTTTTGTTTTGTAAGAGTGCTCTAAAAATTGTTAAAACGTGCGTATTGCCATGGACACCATCTCACCAATGGAACGAATGGGATGACCACCACCAGTATTACCCCCTTTCGTCACCTTTATGAAGAAGTAAACGTTTTTTACAGAAATTTATTAAAAGACAATAGTCAAAGAAAATCAGACATAAATGTCACTAACCGTAAGTTAAGTAAATTAGATAAACTAGGAAAAGAATTTAGTTATATAAAAGATTCTTTTAATAAAGACAAGCATTTAGATGCAGAGGTAAAAGAAGCTAAAGAATATGTTAAAGCTATTAATACAAAAATTAAAAATATAGAAGGTATTTTAAAAGAAAGATTAGAATTAAGTGGTAATAGCCAAGGGTCGGCAGAAACGCAAGAGATTAAGACAGATTCGGAAACGTCAGATGAAGATAGTGTAAATAAAAAAAGTTTAATTAATAAAAACACAATGGCTGAAAAATTCTGTCTTAACCCTTTCGCGTCTAATGGGACAATACGTCCCAAGAAAATTTAGTCTTTAAAAATACGACTTTGTTTTTCTGCGTTTGGAAATAAAATATCATTTCAGCACGGATGGGACAGATATAACCCGATGTAAAATACTACTGGGACAAATAGGTCCCACATCCTCAAAAATACAATTTGGGCTGTTCTATACAAAAACAATAATCAAAATATATTACAATTACTAACCTGGACATTATTTCCGTAAATGTAAACTTAAACAGGGAATTTTATTTGAGAAACAATATAATTTCGAACTAAAATCACACTGCGAGGTCGTTTTCAAAGAATTACGGCCAAACTGGAAAACAAAATAAAAAGTTAGGTTAGATTTTATCAGTATTTAGGAGGGAAAAATATGCAGCGTACGACTGGGACACGATGCCATATAAATATAATGCAATGTTTTTCCAATAGCATTGTTTAAAATGTTGCTGGGACAAATATAACCCAATAGGCTTTTTAATGCATATTTTTTAAAAAACAAGTCGACGCGAAAGGGTTAAGACTGCTGCGAGCTTGCTACCCGTTATGAACGGTTCACAGGATACTACAAATCAATTAATTGACTCAATGGAACTTTACGATTCAATGTTAAACGATGAGGGTAAAAAATTGTTAATTAATTATGTTTTGAAGACTAGGTTGTCACAAAATGCAAAAATGCGATTAGCAAAAACGTATGCGACTATCGAGTTATTAATTTCAGATTTAAAAAAGCATTTTATAACAGTTAAATCAGCAGCTTCACTGTCGGTTCAACTAGCCAATACGAAGCAAGGTTCCAAGACAATTGAGGAATTTGGTAAAACCATTGAGCAGTTGCTTATAGATCTTACTATCTCACAGGCAGAAGGTAATGATGAGGTTTTAAAAGTGTTAAGAAATGCGCATGAAAAAGTTGCTATCAATGTCTTTGCAAACGGAATAAATAACGCGGAACTTCGTACAATAGTAAAAGCTAGAAACTATTCAAAGTTAACTGACGCGATAAGCGGAGCCAAAGACGAAGAATGCGCGAGACCCAGTTATAATAACTGCGGTTCGGAACACATTTTTAATATTAGAGGTCGTGGAAATTTAAGGCGAGGATATGGATCTAAACAGTCTACCAGAGGCGGACAGTTCAATTCGTACCCTAGCAGAGGGTTTAATTATAATAATCGTAGTCAAAATTTTCAAAATAACTTGCGTGGGTCATACAATAATACAAGGCATAGCCGAGGTCGTCCCTTTAATCGGCAACATTCTTATTCCCCAAATTTTAATAGTGGTCAAAATAATCAACAAACCTTTAATCGCAGTAATAGAAATTCTAGAGTTATAAATAATAGTGACCATAGAGCTTATTGCGCGGGTGGTAATCGTGACAGTGAGGAGACGGAAAATCCCATAAATAATTTTTTTCGTTCCAACACTGAACAATCCGAAGATTAATAATTATTGTAGGGAAAAATTAATTTTAAGCTTAGATGGGTTAAATTTTATTAAGTTATTTTATAAAGATCAAGAACTATCATTTTTAGTCGATACTGGGGCTTCAATAAGTATTATTTTTAGCGAATTTATTAAAAATAAGGAAAATATTAATTATAATACAAAAGTAAAAATTAACGGAATAGCTGGCTCAACATTTTCACAAGGTTCAACAAACTTAGTATTAAATATAAAGAATGTTAGCCTAGATCATGAATTTTTGCTGATTAATAGTTTTGAAGAAAACATAAGTGGAATAATTGGAGCAGATTTCTTACAAAAGTATTCTGCTACAATAGATTATGAAAAGTTTATGTTGCATTTTTATATAAATTGCAAACGAATTTCATTACCTATGGAATCTAAAAATAACTATTACACAACGATTCCAGCAAGATGTCAAATAATAAAAACTTGCAACGTAGACATAGGATTTGATTGTGTAGTTTTACCAGACGAAATCTCTGAAGGTGTATTTGTTGCTGGTATATTAGCAAGACCTAATAATAATAATATTCCGGTTAGAATCTTAAATACGCGAGATGAGCCAGTCATTCTGAAAAATTTTAAACCAAAACTTAGTAGATTAGAAGATTATAAAATATGTAGTTTTAGTAACGTAGATAAAATTAATGTTGACAGAATAGATAGTTTATTGGAAATAATAGATACTAAACATTTAAACAAGGATGAAACACATTCACTGCAAAGAGTTTGCGCGAAATACGCAGACGTCTTTCATTTAAAAAATGACCCGTTAACGGTAACAAATGTTTATAAGCAAAAAATACATTTACGCCCATCGATGACCCCATCATATGTAAAACCATACCGTTTACCACACTCGCAAAAAGCAGAAATTCATAGACAGGTAGAAAAAATGTTAGCGGACGGAATTATTGAAGAATCAAAATCAGAGTGGTCGGCACCCTTACTAATAGTACCAAAAAGAGTGGATCAAAGTGGAGAGCAAAAATGGAGAGTTGTTATTGACTACCGACTACTTAATAAACGTATTGAAGATGACAAGTTTCCTCTCCCAAGTATAACTGATATCCTAGACTCATTGTTAGGAGCCGTTTATTTCTCCCACCTTGATTTATCTCAGGGATATTATCAAATAAATTTAGATAATGAAAGCCGACCATATACTGCATTTACGACTGATAGGGGCCAGTATCAGATGACTAGATTACCAATGGGGCTTAAAATCAGTCCCGGCGCTTTTTCCCGAGCAATGACAATAGCTATCTCAGGTTTAAATTATGAAAGCTGTTTTATATACTTGGATGACCTTATAGTATTTGGAAATAATTTATTTACTCATAATAAGAATCTTACAAAAGTTTTCCAAAGGCTACGAGAAGTCAATTTAAAATTAAATCCGTTAAAATGTGAATTTTTAAAAAAAGAAATCTTTTATTTAGGGCATATAATTTCCGCAGAGGGTGTTTCACCTAATCCGGAAAAAGTGTCAGCAATTCAGAATTTTCCAAACCCAAAAAATTCTGAGGACACAAAACGGTTTGTAGCTTTAGCGAACTATTATAGACGTTTTATAAATAACTTTGCGAAAATCGCTTCACCTTTGAACAACTTAAGTAGGAAAAATGTTACATTTAATTGGACACAAGAATGTCAGACAGCTTTTGAAAATTTAAAATCTGCATTAATTCAGCCGCCTATATTGCAATATCCAAATTTCTCTCCAGAAAATATTTTTATTTTGCAAACTGATGCGTCAGGCTTTGCTCTAGGAGCTGTTCTATCTAATAGTAATAACAGACCGGTCGCTTTTGCAAGTCGGTCTCTTAATAAGGCAGAAAGAAATTACTGCACTATCGAGAAGGAACTTCTAGCAATAGTGTGGTCTGTAAAACATTTTCGACCATACTTATATGGTAGAAAGTTTAAAATACTAACCGACCATAGACCGTTAGTATATCTCTTCGGTATGAATAATCCATCTAGCCGTTTAACAAAATTTCGCTTAGTGTTAGAAGAATATGACTTTTGTATAGAGTACATAAAGGGAAAACAAAATGTTACAGCTGACGCTTTATCTCGAATAGAAATAACATCACAAGAGCTTACCTCGATGAAAAACGTTGTATCTAACGCAATGTATGTAGTGACAAGGTCACAAGCCAAAATTCGTCCCGCCAATGTCATTAAAAACGCGGTTAACCAAAACAGGCCTGATCACCCTGGTATGGTTGAACTAGTTAAAAAACCCAAATATGTCATTGAACTTAAACCTATAAAATTAACTGAATTTACAAAAATAAAAAACTATTTAAAATACGAGCATGCAGAAAATAATTTTATTTATGATAATAACTCGCGAGTAATATATGTAAATAAGGAATCTCGATCAGCGTTGACACTAGATGCATCGCTGAGAGCCCTTATATTAATTTGTAAAAAATATGGTATTAAAGAATTATTAATAATAAAAAACGAGGATGGCGCGCACCTCATTAAAGATATAGAAAAAGAAGTAGGTAAATTCAAAATCAATAATATAAAAATTTCAATAATAAAAGATGTTCAAAATATAACAAATGCAGAAGTTAGGCAATTAATATTAAACGATTTCCACATGCTTCCAACCGGAGGTCATGCAGGAATAAATCGAATGTATAACACTATAAAAAGTTATTATTTTTGGAATGGACTTAAAAAGGACATAGAAAAGTTTATAAAAAAGTGCGATGACTGTCAAAGGTACAAACACACTAAACCTTGTAAGCGTTCACACCCCCCCCCAGCAAAGAATCTGTAAAAAGTTACACCCCAAGTGATAAATGAAATATAACACCACGGCAAATGTTATATTAAATTACAACAAATAAATAAAATAAATACTTACGGTAATAAAGCTCATTAATTTAGTAACCCAAGGTACTTGTGAGGTGTTGTATTCATGGGGAAATTATTTAAAAAGGGAAATAATAAATACAGTAAATAAAAGGCAATAAGTTACGTTTGAACTCCGGTCAAAACCCGGAAGGCTCCCGTTTATTTTTTAATTAATTATCGCTCATAAAACCTTCCAAAATGAGGGATTATGGGAGTGAGTTTCACGTATAAAATATTTACAATTTATAACAAACAATAATGATATTTATTTGGACAGAGCAACAAAAATAACCGCAACCCAAACGACATTTAACTTAGTGAACTCTGAAAGAAAAGGACCTCCTACAACCGTTTAAAACCACACAATATCTCCTTACTGCGACTACAACCCAAATATAAATAAATATATAAATACCATTAGATAAATAATACATCATACTAGAGCTTAGCTCTCGTTTTTCATTTTTTAATTTTTATCTTCGCTTTTTGCTGATTTGTTTGTTTATTTTCATTTTTAATTTTTATCTTCGCTTTTTGCTGATTTGTTTGTTTGTTTGGTGAAAGTAGATTGAGTCTTAGTCTCTATTTTTGTATTTTAAATTTAACTTTATTCATCAAGCATTCCGTCTGCAATAGGCCTCCATCATCCAAATAAAGTTTTTATATTTATTATTTACTGTTGAATTTAAGTTTACTGTTACACGAATTTTTCATGTAATATTTATTAGAGTTCAGGCTCAATAAACTGTTGGAAAAGGAGTAAATAATTATTAGGCCGCAATTGCTTCAACTGAGGGTCCGCAATTGTCTATTATGCCTCATTTGTCGGCAAACTTTAATAAATTAATAACACTATGAT